GAAATGTTACGCCCCTCACCATACTGTGATGCCCTGTCCAGCCGGAGCGACGAGACAAAAACATTAAAACCCATTATAAACGAGGCATTTGTTGGGACAGTGGGGACATAATTATGGATTATAATGACTTATACTGTCTTTTTACGCGTTGCGTTGCATCGCGCCGCATAAACATAAAACCATATCTGCATTTGTGATCGGAGAAACGACAAACAACAAGTGCTACTCTACATTGCTCAAAACTCGCATTTGAATCATCAGTGGCAAATTCTTTAAATATGAAAACGTAATACTACAGCGAGAATCAAAGTTATGCCTTCTTTCTGAACATTTGGGCGGTGTTATGCAAATCTTCCCACACAGTGATGTAGACATGTGGGGGCGTGTTTAAACAAGCCGTTTTAGGAGGGCTTAACGTTTATAAAGAATATCTCTTTGGGTTTGAGACTTTAGTCTTTGCAACTTTAGGGATCTTATCTATTACGAGGCGTTTTAGGAGGGCTTAACTTTTATAAAGAATATCTCTTTGGGTTTGAGACTTTAGTCTTTGCATCTTTAGGGATCTTATCTATGCACGAACAGCTTGTAACACTCCAAAGAGAAAGGAAAACTTGAAATTGCATCATATGACCCCTTTAACCCCAACTATACCATGTTTGTTATCTACGAATTTGTATTTTGATGATCTAAATGAGGGTGTATATTATATGTTGATACCTAGTGTTCTAAGAATCTTTAACAGTTTTGCATCAGCACCTAGTTACATATGCAAAATACCATGATCGAAGACTCTCTGACCACCCAAAAGATAGACCTCCATAGAACGGCCAAAGCAATGCAAGTATCGTACCTTTAACTAAATGAAACAGAGGTTTAGTATAAGCTGTAAACCCCGTTGTAAAACGGCACTGGTGGTTTCACTCAGGTGGTTAACTGACTCATTTTTCATAGCTGCATTCTCTGGTTTCTCTAACGGTTTCATTCATCCACTTTAACTCCCCTTTGTATGCATGTGTGAGTGTGTGTATATACTAGTTATGTGTTAGTGTTTAGTTACATTGTAACCAGCGTGCGAGCACTGAATTGAAATCTTTTGTGTCTTTTTGCACTTGAATTGTTTAAACTCTATTGAAGGTTTAAATTAGAGAGGCTTAAAACATGTGCAAATGATAAACTTTCGTAAGGATGAAATGGTGGTCTGATTGGACAGTGACAAATCCGCTAACTGTCTCGATCGAGGGTCTTTCACACTGGCCCCGGGCCATCGGCCAGTCCTTATTGTCAAGCCTGTGGCCTTAATTTTAATAAAAAATGCAATAATACAACTTTGATGATAAACACTTATAAAGTACTGTAGCACATTACAAAGGTTTCACTCGTTAATATTAGCCTACTTATTGCAATAGCTGTCAAGAATACCTGACTGCCGTGATTAACAATATTTTACATCATTTATTTCTCTTGATTAATGTTAATAACTTATTTCACTATTATTAAGGTAAATTAGTGATTTAAAAATTGCATGTGTAGAGTAAGATTTGTGAAAACGTAAATGAACTTACCAACCTGATCCACAAGCAGAAAGACATATTTGTGAAGGCATAAATCAAAGTGCACAGAACATTTGGTAAAGGTGTACATTTACCTTCACTTACTTACCTGCCTACTCTGTTCCTTATTTAATGTTAGTTCATAATGCATTTCATCAACATTAAATGCTACATTTAATGCTACGTGTTTTTATATGTAGATATCTGTGTAAAATATGCCAGACAAGCACATGTGT